TGTGCTTGTTTATCCATCTTGAAATGGGCTGGTAATAACACTTATTCCTCGGCCTCTCTGGAGGATTTGATGAGGTTGATCAGGATATTGATCCCAGTGAAGGATAGAAGAGGAATCCCCGGATAGCAGTAGCAATGCGGTGCTTATCTATTAGCTGAAAGGTTGGTGACTCAAACCCACCCAGAGGGGCCTCCGGAGAAGGGCTTCTGAAAGGTCACAGCCTTGAAAAGCAGAGGACGCAGGTCTACTCTGACATATGCAGGGTCTCCAGGACTCAGAATTTTCTGGAAGGCCACTAACAATAATGACAACAGCTGACACATAAGAGCCCCTAAGTGCCTCCTTAGTGTGTTTCAGATTAGTCCTGGTGGCTCTGCAGGGTCAGCACTGGACCCAAACTTCCCAGCCACTCCGTGGGAGAAAGAGGAAGCTGTCTTCCCATCTGTCAGTTTGTCCTACTGTGTTGGTTTATGTGTACTGTGATCCTGGAAGCTATGCCACCAATATACACTATCAGCAGTGTCACCGGAGATTTCAGCAGAGCTTCCAGACGGTGAAGGTGAAACAGATGACTTCTAAATAATCACTGAAAACATGATGACTAACAACAGAACACTGTCAGAGACAGTGCTGGAAGATGAGCCCCTCAGGCTGGAAGGCCCTCAGAACAGAACTGGGGAAGAGCTGCCTCCTCAAAGTAGAGGTGACCGTGATGATGTGCATGCAGCAAAGCTTCCAGGACCTTCATATGCTGATGGAGAACAATTCAAAATGAGGACAAACGTATGCAAACATCCATTAATAATCAGAACATTGAATGTATGAAGTATGAATCTAGGAAAACTGAAAATCACCAAAAGTGAAATGGAGCACATAAACATCGATATCTTAGGCATTAGTGAGCTAAAATGGATTGCTTTTGGTCATTTTGAAACTGACAGTCATATGTTTTACTATGCCAGGAATCACAAATTGAAGAGGAATGGTAACACATTAATTGTCAAAAAGGGCATTTCAAGATACATCTTGAAGTACAGTGCTGTGATTCAATAATATCCATATTCCTACAAGGAAGACCAGTTAATACCACTATTTTTCAAATTTACACACCAACCACTAAAGCCAGTGATGGTGTAATTGAAGAATCCTAATGTAGTGCCATAGGGTAAGCATTTTACCTCAAGGTAGGTTTGCGCTGTAGGATCAGTGCTTCAAATTCACCAGCTGCTTCTAGGACATCCTCTGAGTCGGAACTAACTTGACTACACTTAACAACGACAACCAGCTTCTTTGGTTTGAAATTGATCCAACATGCAGTCAAGATGTATTGATATTACTGTTGCTTAGAATGTGAACGTTGGAAACAGGAAGGATCAGCAGTTGTAAAACACTGCCTTGGTGGTAGAAATGATGCTAGAGATCACATGATAAAATTTTACAAGACCAACAACTTACTCATTGCAAATAGCTTTAAAAAAAACAACAACAACACAAAAAGTGATTATATACGTGGACCTTGCCAGATAGAATACACAGAAATCAAATTGAATATATTTGTGGGGAGAGACAGAGGAAAAGCTTGTTTTATCACCCGCCAAAACAAGGCCATGGGCAGACGGTGGAAGAGACCATCATTGCTCATGGGCAAGGTCAGGCTGAAGCTGAAGAAAATGAAAGCAAATCCACAAGAGCTAGACTATGACCTTGAATATATCCCACCAGAACTAGAGAGATTATCTTTAGAACAGATTTGATACATTAGATATTAATGGCCAAAACCAGAAGAGCTATGGGATAACATCAAGAACATCATACAAGAAGAAAACAAAAGTTCATGAGAGTAGAGAAACAAAAGCTGAAAGAAATGAAGAAGTTGAAGAGCTGAACAGAAAATTTCAAAGAGCAGCTTAAGAAGACCAAGTATGAGATGTGCAAAGACCTGAAGTTAAAAATCCAAAAGGGAAGAACACACTCAGCATTTCTCAAGCTGAAAGAACTGAAGAAAAACTTCAAACTTCGATTTGCAATATTGAATGATCCTGTGGGCAAAATGTTGAATGATGCAGAAAGCATCAAAAGAAGAAGGAAGGAATACACAGAATCACTGTACCAAAAGGAGATGGTCGATGTTCAGCCATTTCAAGAGGTAGAATATGAACACAAGCCGATGTTACTGACAGAAGTGCACAGTGCGCTGAAGGCATTGGCAGAGAACAAGGCTCTGGGAATTGATGGAATACAAATTGAAATCTTTCAACAAACTGTTGCAACAGGTGAGGCACTCGGTCATCTATACAAAGAAATTTGGAAGACAGCTACCTGTTCAACTGATGGGAAGAGATCCATATTTGTGCCCGTTCCAAAGACAGATGACCCAACGAAATACAGAAATCACCAGACAGTATCATCAATATCACTTGCAAGCAAAATTTTGTTAATGATCATATTTAAATGGCTGCAACAGTATATTGACAGGTAACTACTGTCAGAGGTTCAAGCCAGATTCAGACAAAGACGTAGAATGAGGGATATCTTTGCGGGTGTCAAATGGATCTTAGCTAAAAGTAAAGTATACTAGAAAGATAGCTGTGTTTTATTAACTATGCAAAGACTTTCAACTATTTGGCTCATAACAAGCTATGAACAACATTGTAGAGATTGTGTATTCCAGAACCCTTCATTGTGCTAATGAGGGACTTGTGTTCATGAGAACAGAACAAGGAGACACTGAATGGTTTAAAATTAGGAAGTTGTGCACCTGCATTGTATCCTGCCACCATTCTCATTCAGTCTGTATGCTGAGCAAACATCCTGGAAACTGGATTATATGTGATGAAGATTGGAGGAAGACTCACTAACAAACAGAGATAAGCAGGTAATACAACCTTACTTTATAAAAGCAAACAAGACTTAAAATACTTATGAAGATCAAAGACCACAGCCTTCAGTATGGATTACACTTCAATGTAAAGAAAACAAGAATCCTGACCACTGGACCAATACGTAACTTCATGATAAATGGGGATTGAAGTTGTTAAAGACTCATTTTCCTTGGTCCACAATCAATGCTCATGGAAGCAGCAGTCAAGAAATCAAATGACTTATTGCCTTATGCAACTCTGCTGCCCAAGACCTATTTAAAGTGTTCAAGAGCAAAGATGTCAGTTTGAGGACTAAGGTGAGTGTGCCTGATCCAAGCCATGGTATTTTCAACTACCTCATATGCATTTGAGTTGTGGTGTTGGGAGAGAATATTAAATGTCCCATGAAATGCCAAGAAAACCAATAGATCTGTATTGGAAGAAGTACAACCAGAATGCTCCTTAGAAGTCAGAGTGGTACCTCTCTCATACTTTGGACATGTTATCAGGAGGGACCAGTCCCTGGACAAGAACATCATGCTTGGGAAAGTGGAGGGTCAGTGAAAAAGAGGAAGACCCCCAACAAGATGGATAGGCACCGAGGCAGCCACAATGGGCATTGATGACAGGAATGGTGTAGGACCGGGGCAGTGTTTTGTTCTGTTGTGCATAGGGTCACTATGTCTTGGAATGGACTCAGTGACACCTAACAACACCACCCAGAGCTATGAGTGGGAATCGCATAGCAGTCGATAGCAGTGGGTTTGATGGTTTGAGGTCATGTTTTTGTGAATCTCTGCATCTGCCATCACTTTGTTTGCTCTTCCTTCTTTCTGTGGACATTGACTGGTCGCCTTCCCCAGAATCCTGCAGACAGCAGCAAATTAAAGAGACATGGGTTTTTTCTGGGCCAAGGGAGAAAGGACTGGTAACGTGGAATAGATGTGCAGAAGACAGGCTTCTCTGCTGCTGAAAACCCTCAGTAGCACGTCTGTGCTGCACACTTGGAGTCACCCCGAGTCAGAATCTCCTGAATAGCAACAGGTTTGGATTTCTGTTGTTGTTCTCCAGGAACTTGGACTTGAGTTTAGAACACATGACAGGGCGGCTAAGGAGCAAGTGTGTAACAGGAAGGTCGAAATGTGGGGGCACGGGAAGGAAGGCCTTCCTGAGTTCTAGGAGTGACTTTATAATTTCTTGTCATATGACTTTGGCATTGGGTGTAAGGGGCAGTGAGAAGGATCAAGATAGGGTGGAGGTGGTCAGAAGATTCTGTGTTTCCAATCTGACATCCTGTGTCCCTATTGTGCCACGGTCCTCTGACAACCTCTCGACAGTTCTGTATCTGCTGCTTCCTCTGTACCGGGAGTGAGGCGCTGACCTGAGTTTTCAGTGTAGGGCTCTGAGGACTGACCACAGTACTTACAGCAGGCCATTACCCCACTCTCTGAAATGGTGTGGGGACCTTGAGATGGTGTGGCAAATTTGGGAGCCCAGTGGTTTAAGTTCTCATAAGCTGCCATCCGAAAAGTCTGTGGTTCAAACCCACCAGCCGCTCTAAAGGAGAGGCATGAAGCACTTTGCTTTCATAAAGGTTTACCATCAGAAACCCTGTGAAACCGCTTTCTACTGTCCCATAGGATACCTCTGTGTCTGAGTCAACTCAGTGGCCTTTGGTTTGAGTGTTTTGGGTTAGGGTCTGACCAGAGCCTTCACCCAAATTGTGATCAGGAGCCTAGTGTAAGACTCTGCACTTCCTAGTTCTGGCCCTCGATGCGATCCTTACCCATCTGAGACTTGGTCTTTTTAACCCACCTACCCGAGAGGAGTCCTAGTGTGGTGCTGTAGGGTAAGCACTGGACTGATAACCACAAGGTTGGCGGTTCAAATCCACCAGCCACTCCTCAGAAATCCTATGCATACGTGCTGTGAGTTGAAACTGACTCGACAGCACTTAACAGCAACCCAAGAGGGTGGAGAGGTGAATAAGGTGGTGCAGGCAGAGGCCTGGCCCCTGTGCCCGCAGTGCTTCTGTGTTGGTCCCTCCAGGTTGGATCCCGGGCCTGTCTTTTATGATGTGGTTGCAGGGTGACAGGTAGCCTGGGAACACTGCTGACATATATTGACATTTTTTTCCAGGTGTTTTCCAAAGTGGGAAGAGTGAAGAGCTGCTCTGTTTCCAAGAAGAAGAGCAAATCAGGTATTTATATTTTTTATGGAACCCTAAGCCAAAAAGAACTGATTCCCAAAGAAATCGCGTGAGTCTAGGTCCACTTTGGGAGTGTAAGCTCTCGGTTGTTTCATCCTTTTCCTTTTTCTTTTTTTCCTTTCTTCATTCGTTTCTTTTTTGTTGAGCACATATGAGATGGCTGTAGAAAGTTTGTGGGAAAGTCCCATTCTCTTGGGATTTCCTGTTGCCACACACCCTCTGAAGCCGCTCATACCAGAACATTCGCCCACTGCCAGCTTCGGGTCTCTCCTCGCTTGGCCAAGTTTTCAAAAGGTCGTTTATGAGGCGTTGGCACCCTGACTTGTCTCAAGAGCCTTTTCCCTTGTGTCCCCGGAGATGCCCTGAGGGACGGGACAGTGGAACCCAGGGTATGGATGTTGTACGGATTGGGGACTGTAGGGACACCTGAGGGACAGGCACACCGCCCAGGGCTTTACATGTCAGGCAGGAACCACGCGTGAGGGCCAGGACAGGAGAGGCTGGCTGAGGGGTGAAGACTCCTGGGAGGGAGGCAGGCTCCGAATCCGAGTGACGCTGGCATCAGGCCGAAGAGTTTTGCCTTTTTTCCTAGGGTGGTAGGGAGCCCTGGAGAGTTTTAGGTAGACAAGTGGCATAAAAATTAGGGGAGTCCTTGTTCTCCAGGAATGATCCCTGGGTGGCACGAATGGTTAGCTCTGCACACCTGACCAAAAGGTTGGTGGTTCACACTCACCCACAGGCACCTGAGAAGAAGACTTGGCAATCTATGGAAAGCTCATAGTCTAGAAAGCTCTCCAGAACGTTCTGCTTCTACACACATTGGGGCTCCACGAGTCAGAATCGACTCCATGGTTTTGGCAGTTCTTATTCTCCTAGAACTTTGAGTCGCGTTTGAAGCATGAGAAAAGGCAGCTTGAGGCCCAAATCCGTGACTGAAAGAATGAATTTTGGGGAGTTCAGGAAGTGATCCTGGAAGACTGGGGTGAGCCGGGCTACACAGAGTCTGGCACTCAGGCCAGTAGGTCCATCCTCGCTGGGTGCAGGGTCACTCTGGGTGATCAGAGCCTGGTGTCACTCTGAAAAGTGCTGTATGAGAAAGCCCTGAGCTCTCAGTGTGGTAAACAACCCTCCATACACCCATCTAGGGGATCGAGACTGGGCATCCCTGTCAGCTTGGGCAGCAGCTGGACAAACGTTCACTGTACTCAGACTTGGCGAGCAGTTTCTATAAGGAAGGTGCTGGCTGGGCACAGGGAGCCCACGGAGGGCTCAGGAAGAACTCAGCACCCTGCTGAGCCCAGAGGAGTCTGGGAAGGAATGTCAGCTGATCCAGGGCTGGAGGTGACACACGGCTGCCTCTGGAAAGCATGCCAATGGTTGGAGGTGGGGAGAAGCACTCAGGACCCCAGGCTCCCCTGCAGCCTCAGTCTCACATGAGAACTTCCCATGACATCAGTACACCCCAAAGCCAGACATGGATAAAGGTCGTCAGGACATCCTGAGTGTCCCTGACCCAGAGGTGAACATGCGCAAGTCATGGGTGGGCACTTCATGGAGTTGCTTCTGCATCTGGCCCTCACTTTACGACACTGGGTTGTGAATGGGAATGCAAGAAGCCTGGGTCCCACTAACAGTCTTGTAGAGGGGAAGAGGGCTGTTGTTTTGAACTTTTTATTGTGAATTGAGTAAAGGTTTGCTTAGCAGACCGGTTTTCCATCCAGCAGTTCATACACATTTTGTTTCATCTCGATGATTGCACTTCCTACAACATGGCGTCCGTTGTCCTACTTCCTCCCTGTGTTTCCTGTCTCCAGTCCTTCTTTCCTAACCCTCCTGAACTTTGTCTGTGGTGCCTCACTGGTGGCATTGTCCCGTCTTATAGAGCTGTCTTTGAGTCACAGGATGAGTTCAGCTGCCGGTCTGAAGGGTGACTAACGGCCATGGTCTCAGGGGCCCCACCAGCCTCTCGATTTTTTTTTTTTTTTATGTTACTGAGTTTTGATCCATTTGTCTCCCACTCTGTCTGAAACCTTCTAACACAATTCCTCCCAGAGCGGTTCATAGTAGTAACTGGGTACCATCTAGTTCTTCTGGTCTCCAGGTCAAGAAGACTGATGTTCACATGTTCCACTAGTCCATTGGACTCATTGTCTCCATGAGTTTTCCATTTGCATCACCCTTCTTTCTGACAGACAGGGAGAGACCAATAGTTGCCTTAGATGGCTGCTCACAAGACCCCAGTTGCTACTCCCCAAAGTCAGATGTAGAAACTTGTCTTTGTGGACTGCCTGATACCAACTGACCTTGGTGTCCCCAAGATACTGGTGCTGAGCTCCCAGGCTTAGTAACTCAGTCCAGAGTTGGAGATTCTTGAGCCTCATTTGAGCCATTAGAATTAAGCCAATCCCCTCGAATTTCAATTGTGAAAAAAATACTGAATGAAAATAACAAAATTTGTATGAAATGCTGGGTAGAAGAGAAAGATGAAGCAAACTTTGTGTCAGTGAGGCAAGATGGGATTGTCAGCCGCCATCGAGTTGGCCCTGACCTGGACACAGCGGAACAAGGTCCCACAACTAAGCTGTGATAGGTTGGAGATCAAACTGCTGTGTTTCATGGGGTTTTTGTTGGCTTGTTTGTGGGAGTAGATCACAAGGCTTTTCTAGTCAACGCTGCTGAAAGCTGTAAGCCTCACAGCAACATGCAAGCCTCTCTGACGGACAGGTGGTGAATGACTCTTCATGAGGTTCCTTGGCCAGGAATCGAACCTGTATCCCCTGTGTGGAGTTACAACTTCTAACATTGAACCACCACCGCCTCGGAAGATGTAATTGTTGTTGTTGTTAAGTGCCGTTGAGTTGGTTCCGACTCATAGTACAGGGATTCCAAGGAGTGGCTGGTGGCTTTGAACTGCCAACCTTGCAATTCAAACCAACCTTGCAGTCCAGTGCATTATCCTGTAGCACTCCACACCAAGACTCATAAAGAGATATAATTAGGGATCTTTTAAGTTTTAGTTCCCTGAGAAAGGATTGCTTTCCGTCTCCCCCACCTGTTAGGTTTATATTTGTACATACCCATATCTGAAGTCAGAGTCCTGTTATGGTGCTATAGATTAAGCACTGGACTGCTAACCAATACGTCAGCAGTTCAAACCTACCAGCTGCTATTTAGAAACCCTATACAGGATTGCTATGAGTTGGGACTAACTCAGCAGCACTTAGCAACAACATATCTGAAGTCTGGAGCCAGACGTTTCCAATACAGTTTTTTTTTTTTTTTTTCCTGCTGATCTTTCTTTTTTTTTTTTAATTAAATGTTTTTATTTTGCATTGAGTGAAAGTTTACAGGGCACATCATCAGCTTCACATTCAATCATTCATATAGCTTGTTTCATTACATTGATTCTTATCCCCGCCATATATCATCAGTTTACAGTGTTTCTCTCTATCCTCTTTAGCTTTTTTTTTTTTTGGATGGGGGGCGACTTGGCTTTTTGGAATTTACAGTCTCGGCTTTTAGGGAAGGTTTTTACATTTGTCTGTGGATATCCAGGGCTCATGTATGAGATTACTAACAAGCATTACTGAATAATCAGATGAGGGACAGTTTGCTATGTCTACTAGGTAGCTAGAGTCTGATCCTCAGAGCCTATGGTTTGGACGGTCAACAACGCTTGGGCCCACAGGGGCTTGGCTCCAATACAGTTTTGAGATGTCCTTTGATATCTGAACTCTCCCTTCTCAGGTCCCAATAACGCTGTGGCCTGCACTCCCTTCCCGAACTGTCTCTCTAAAACTCCGGAATACTCTGTAGTTGCAGGACCAGTGATATACTCGTAAAACACTGCTCTCTAGACGTTTGACCTTGATGCTCTGTGTTCTGGACACAGGGGACTGCCGACTTAGAGCTTGGGCTGCCTGCCTGTCCTACCAGTGGTCATCCCTGCAGCTCCCCCTCCCTCCAGAAGCTAGAATTCTATTATGAAGTTAATTATCATGTCAGTCATCTGTTAATTTCCAATCAGCTGGGCCCCGGGGGCTGCTAGGTTAGCTGGGTAGCTGCTTCTTCAAGATGAAGAGTGAGTGATCAAAGGCCAACCAGGGATGTCCATCAGTGTGGGGAGGAAGGGGCTGGCACTGAGGTCCGATCCCTGGGACCTGTCTGTTTTCCAGGAGCGCTGCTGTCCATGGGCTTCGGGTTCGTGGAGTACTGGAAGCCAGAGTCCGCCCAGAAAGCACTCAAGCAACTCCAGGTAAAGCAGGGGAAGCAACGCCTGAAGGTTCTGTGGTCAGGGAAGCCAAGCCTCTCTGCAGAGGTAACAGTGTAACTAACATGTAATTGAGTAACCCCTGTGCAATATCGATGCTTTATACTCCGCTGCTAACTGAAAGGTGGGCTCTTAAGTCCACCCCACAGTACTGCGGAAGAAAGGTGAGGCAAGAAGACCCCATGGAGCAGCAGTTCTGTGCTATAGCTCACAGGGTTGAGCTGGAATTGGTTTGGTTTTTGTGGTTTCATTGGCAAGGAGGAGTCACCCTGCATAAAGATGCGAGAGTCCCAGTTGACATTGAGTCGACTGAACTCACAGCATCCTGTGTGCATCAGAGTGGAGCTGTGCTCTGTAGAGTTCCCAACAGGTGGTTTTTCTTAAGTAGTTCACCAGGCCTTTGTTCTGCAGCACTCCTGGGTGTACTCTAACCTGTTGATGAGCCGCCAAACATGTTCACCCAGGACTCTCCACTAGGGGGCCCAAATGACATTGACTATGGGGTGGGAAGGACAGGGGAGAGGCTCCAGGCAGGCCCACCTTCACCAGAGCCGAACTGTCAGCCCTGCACCTGTCTAAAGCTAGCTACTCCTGGGCCTCAGCCAGTTGTTAGCTTATGGGGTGGTGGGACCACTGATAGCACATGGCCCAGCAAGACTGGTGTGCCAGTGTTTGTTTTGTTCTGGTTTGGGTCTTTACTGGTTTTTAAAAGAGGCTGGAAAAAGAAGAAATACAACGAGAGACAGAGAGAGAGAGAGTGGAAATGCAGCTTTCCCATTAGAGGCCGAGCGCTCCCTGAACCTGAGTCTCCCCATTCCGTGAGCGGCCCACCTGTGTCTCACAGACCTCTAGCTTCTGGTGACTTCACACTGCGCTGGGCCTGCAGGTCACTGTTCGCACGCATGTGTCTATCGCCTTGCAGGGTTGTTTATGCAGAGCTATCTGTACTGCATTTATGGGAGATGTCAGGAATTTCCGGGCTTAATTGTGCTAATTCACCAGTGGGGCCTTCTGGGGCTGACAGCGGAGGCCAGCTTGCTGCATCTTCACCACTGTTAAGAATTGTTTTCAGGAGCACAAAAATGAATCCAGACTCTCCACTAGCCAAACCCAAGGAGCTGCCTTTGCCTGAAAATGTTTTGTTGAGAGAGAGTGGAAAATTCTAGGCCACTTGAATGGTGTGAAAGGTCAGGGCCCGCTCCTGGCTCAGGAGCATTAGCAGATTGTGTCTCCCTAACCCCAGTTGTGGCCCCGGGCATTTCAGGGAACATCTTTTCTCTGTACTCAGTCCAGCAATGCCCTCTACCGAGAACAGCCCATCCTTGCGCCCTGCCAGGCTCCACTCTGATGGCTGGCATATGGGTGAGTGTTCCAGGAGAACCGAGTGACAAGCCTGTTGTCTTTCTCTGTAGGGTCACGTCGTGGACAACCACAAGCTGGAAGTGCGGATTTCAGAAAGGGCCATCAAGTGAGTGCTTGGTGTTCCTACCCATCCAACTGATGCACCCCCCCCCCCTTGCCCTGTACGTGAGTCCATCTCTGTCCTTGCTTGCTGCTCTGAAAGACCGTTAGCTGTGTCTGGCGGTACTCTCGCCGCCCCCCTGCCAGCCCTTCACCAGCTGAGGTGCTTCCCTGTGGAAGGGCCATCGAATTTGCCCATCTCTGATACCCACTTCCCTGGGATGGCCTTTTGGGCAAATGCCCTAATGCCTGTTTATCAGAATTAAAGGCACAAGTGCAGTAGAAACAATCCAATGGCACTCACCTTGGCAACAGAAAGAAGCCAAGGAAGAGTCCCGAGCTGCTGGCGTGGATGACCCATAAGATGCCCATAAGATGCTATAAAATGCAAGGCCTGACTTTATAGGTACAGTCCCTGGAGACGGCCTCCTGTTAATACGAAAGAGATTGAGTAAACACTGGACATTGAAGCCCATCAGTTTCTGGAAGCACTGGGGCATTTTTTCTGAGTTTTCAACTTGTCCCGACAACTCCACCTGCTTGTACATAGAAATGGACAAAATCCACTTGAAATGTTTCCTACAGTTTCTGGCCTTATCACCCACCTGCCTCAGATAACAGAGCGCCCACCTTCAGCAGCCCTAGAGCTGCTTTAAGATTCCTAGTTGGTCGGTCCTTGGCCATGGTCATGGAGCGAATGTGCTGCTGGGGAATTGACTTGGAGTGGCTGCCCTATCCACTCTTTCTCCTTTCACGTGGCCTGCGATTCTCTGCAGCACCCATCATGCTCTGTGCCACGCAGAACACCCTTAGCCAGAGGAAGGCGTGACTCGTAATGCAAGTCCCCAGAGGTTACAGAACGGTGGTAGCCAAAAGGGAGCTGGGCGGGTGAGGTTGGGCTCTGAAAGTCTCTGAGCTGCGTGGCGTGGGGCATCGCTTCTCTGCCCGCTAAGTGAAATGCAGCAATGGCAGGGTTTACATACCTTCCTTTACATATATGCCTGCTAACGCCTCTTCCTGGAGCCTCCTACAGTCATCCCGGCAAGTTCTCAGTCCTTGCGGGCAGCCACTTACTCCATCTTGGACTCTGCAAAACCTCATTGGCACCTTTCTGTGCACCTGGCAACGTCAGACTCTCCTGAGAGCGGGCAGGATGTCACAGAAGGTTCTGTGGTGATGGGCGTGTTTTGTATCCACACTGCCCCGTCTGCAGCTGCTTGCCACACATGGTACTGAACTCTTGAAATGTGGCTGGTGCCATTGTGTGTGGTCTCCTGCTGCGAAACAAACTGCTGATGGACGCTGGGATGCAGACCACGAGCCCCCGAGGAGGAGAATGCGGTGTGTGGGCTGAACAAAAAAGATTGAGAACCTTATCACCCAGGGCGAATTTGCCATCCTCCTCCTCCCTCCCTCCGCCTGAGTCCTAAAGCTAGACATAAGTCAGAAACACTGGCTCCCAGCAGGGGTGGGTAGCACTCAGTGGAGGGTAGGTGTAGCCGGGACCCAGATAACCTGTCCCCTCTCCCCTGCACCCTTCAGGCCAGCCACGATGTCCTCTCGGAAGAAGCAGGTGGCCAGAAAACAGACTACATCTAAGATCTTGGTTCGGAACATCCCCTTTCAGGCCGACAGCCGAGAGGTCCGGGAGCTGTTCAGGTGAGAGGGTAGGGGTGATGGGGAGAAACCTCCGGAGCTTTGTGGGAGGCAGCCATTGGCCCTGGATGGTTCTGCTAAAGGCCAGTGCAGTGGTCTTTGAAAGGCCATCTTTTGGCTGCCTTTGATTTATGGCTCTTAATCTCAGTGGCTGCTCCCCAGAGCATCAACTGGGAAAAGTCCCAACAGCCAGGTCTTGTCTACTCAGGGTGGCAGGAAAGAGTAGCCGTCTCCTTCCTCCCATCCCAGCCACTCCCAGCTGGCCTGCGTGACATGGTTACACCAGCGGTTCTACCCCTTCAGTGTCTGTTCCTATCACCGCGGACTTTTATAAGCAGGCCTGGGGTAGCATGGTTAAGCGCTAGTCTGCTAACCCGAAGGCTGGCTGTTGAGAGCTGCCTAGCAGCTCTGTGGAGAAAGACCTGGTGACCTGCTCTCAGAAAGGTTGATGATTGTGTTCTTTGAGTGCTTAACTGTTGTATCACCAGGGCTCCTTCCATAAACCCTGTGGAGCTGTTCGGCTCCGGTACACGGGGTCAGAGTCGACTCTCCAGCACCCAGCCTTTGCTGTGGCTCCACCCCCAGAGATTCCAAATCCCTGGTCAAGGTTGGAACCCAGACGGTGAATAAACCTCCCCAGAGGATTCTAGCATCCAGCCAGACTTGGGAGGGTGTATGGTCAGAAGCAGAGGAGTTCAGAACTCAGCTGTGGAGGGAATGTGGAGCAGTGTGTAGGCAGAGGGTTCTCCAGCCCCAACTGAGCTGCCAGGTGGGAGTACATTTTGCAGGACCAGGCCTTCCCACACTGTCAGAGAGCCGTCAGCGCTGGGATTCCTACAGGAAATGAGTTGGCTGCTAATTTCACTTTGTGAAAGCCAACACCAGGGGCCAGATATAGCCCGAGGGCCGCAAGTTTGTGACCCCTGTGTACACTCAGGACACCACTTGGCTTTTCTGTTTTGTTTGGTGTCACCCATTACCATGCCCGAGAGAGAATACTCTTTATTAAAGGAGAGAGGAAGTACCAAGTTGGGGTGCTCTGCAGGCACCTGCTGGGCAGCGGTGACCAGGAGCCCTAGGAATGAACTGCAGAGTCACTTAGTCTCCACCAAGTCCAGCATCCAGGCCCAGATGGGACCTCAGAGTGCTCCTGACCTGTGTATGTTGGGTGAAAATTGAGGCTGCTCTGTGGTAAATCTCATTCTACTGTCGATTTCTGGCTTGGAGAACAGAGGACGGAGGAGGTGCGTCCTGGCTAGAATGTCCAGTGAGTAGCGTGGAGGGTTATCTAGGTGTGAAGCCGACTGTCTTCGCTCTCACTCATGGGTTGAAAGAATGGAAGGCTGCCTTGGGGAATTTGCTTCTGAAGCCCTTAGCCCCACACTGTCATACATTTCATTATTGGCCTCTGCTGGGTTCTCTGGGTGGGTCCCAAGCACCCCGCGCAGCCTCAGTCTTCTGGGGAGATGGGCCTCTGGGCCTTATCCTACTATCAGGAGGGGTCTGCGTGGTTCAGCAAAGTGTGTAATCCTTAGCGTGTTCACTGTTTGTGCATCTGCAATTCAGAAAGCGTCCAATTTCACAACTACCCAGTCCAGTCGGGCTCACTAAGGAAATAATATCCCATCAAAATGACAGTTGCGTTCGGTTCCGTGGCTCATGTCCTCTGTTTTGAGGACGGCATATGCTCCAGGAAACAAAAGCGTGTGTGGGAAGGAGGTACACTTTGTTTGAGCTCAGGCGTCATATTTATTTTTAGAAGACAGAATCAGTGCCCACCAAACATAATTACTTGCTTTGTTCCACCATTGTTCGTAAACCCCTGAAATGGGAATTCTTAGGGGCACTCCTCTCTAGCTTTTGTTGTACACTCAGCTGAGGAAGTTCCCAGTGGTGGCCAGCAGGGGGTGCTGCTAGCCTACTCAGGGAGACAGAGTTGGTCCTAGGGAAGGCCCCACCAGTGCTCAGACAAAGCTGCTGGCTGGCAAAAGTCCCTGCCTAGGGGGAGATTTCAGGTTTTAAAGTGTCATCAAAGCCATAGCTCCATTTTCTACAGCACTGGTGGGCATTGGATTCTGTGCACTCTCTTCTCCTTTAAGCCTGAACAGTCAGGGGTATGCCTTGAGCATAGGTTTGAATTGAAGTCCATCTGACCTTGACCTTGGTCTACTCCTGTCTGTCATCGAGTGTGGTTCTCACAGGTCTAGAAGGGACTGTCAACCCCCAGCTCAGTTTGACTGAACCACTGTTCCACGAGTGTTTTGCACGGACCACCTTTGTGCACGCCTTGGCTGTTTCAAGAGGACACACCTTCCTCTCTCTTCTGATGGTCTCTTGTCTAGTAACGGCTGGTGGCACAGAGGCTGGGGGAGAGCTGGATCGATCAGAGTTCTAAAGACTGACCCCCTGGGCCAGCAGCTTCCCGGCCCAAGGCAGAGCTCGTGGTGGTTGTTAGCTGTTGTCAAGTTGGAACACGTCCTGACGCCTGTGCACAGTGAATGACACTCTGCCTGGTCTGGCATCACCCCCGTGATTGGGTGCAGATCGGACTCTTGTGACCCATGTGGTTCTCTCACTGGCTGCTTCTCAGAAGTGGGTTTCCAGGCCTTTCTTCCTAGTCTCAGTCTGAGAGCTCCGCTGAAACCTGTTCAGCATCACAGTAACTCACAAACCTCCTCTATGCATGAAAGACAGTGGGGGACCACCAGGCTCCAGCTCTCAGACGCTTGGCCCCCAGCAGTGGTCAGGCAGGTGCCAAGAGCAGCGTTTCTGTGGGATCGGTGTCAGGGACCTCTGGGGATTTACCTTAGGAAACCCTAGAAGAAGATGGTGTGGATTCGGAGTGAGGGGTCCTGCCACTCCCTTCTTCCTTCTGGGCCTCATTTCCCTCTTTATAAACTAATAACAGTAACAGCAACCTATGCTGTGATCTGTAGTCAGAAGATGCGCTATGCATCATGCTGCTGTGATGCTGAGCAAGTTTCAGTGGTACTTCCACTAAGATGGAGTAAGAAGGAAGGCCTGGTAATCTACTAAAACTCAACCGTATCCTTACGCATCGCATAAGGCCAGGAGCCAACACCATGGCATCTAGCGGCAGCAACAACATGGTGAGAGTGATGAAGTAGTTAAATGTTGTGTCAAGACTGGCCTCTGCCCGGCAGCAGCAGCTGTGGAGTCGACCTTGTTGCCCCCATTTCCCCGTGAAGATGCAGCTCCAGGACCCAAATTTCAACCCACTCCAGCTGGCTCCCAGCTCACTCCTCATGTGGTTGCACACAGGCTGTTCATAGGATGGGATGAGAGTGTGCCTAGGAAGCTCTTGATGTGTAGTGCCTGATGCACTATTGTTGTAAAGTGTTGTGTAGTTGGTTCCTGGGAGTCCTGGTGTGGGGCTGTGGGTTAATACGCTAGACTGCAAGGTCAGTTTGAACTGCAAGGTCAGTGGTTCAAGCTCACCAGCCGTTCCTCGGAAACCCTATACAGGGTGGCAATGGGTCGGAACCGACTCAACGACATTTAACAGGAAGTTGGTTCTTACTAATAACTGCCCTATATTGGGTTACTGAGACTGTAAATCTTTATAGAAGCAGAAAGCCTCATCTTTTTTTCTTGCAGAGCAGCTGGCGGGCTTGAACCATGGTGCTGGTGGTGGTGATGTGCTGTGGAGTAGGTTCCAACTCATAGCGACCCAGTACAGGATTTCTGAGGCTGTAAAACTTTACGGGAGTAGAAAGCCTCATCTTTCTCCCTTGGAACAGCTTGTAGTTTTGAACTGCTGACCCTGAGGTTCGTAACCTGATTCATAACCACTATGCCTCCAGAGCCCATACGTATTAGCAGTAGTGATTCAGCACCAAACCCATGGGGCCAGGATTCCAACCCAAGGCACGTCTGACTATAGACAGATGTTATACTGTTAACAGCAGTACTGAGCTGGTGGCTGGACACAAATCTTTAGGGGGGGGTCCTTTGGAATTTTCCTCCTTTCTGTAAGTATATTTGTCTGGTGGTTCAGCAGTTCGAGCCCATTAGGGCTCTGCTCCTGTGGAGAAAGGTTTGGCTGTGTGCTCTTGTTCAGTGCCGTCAAGTCACTTACGACTCACGTCTAAGGAGCAGCTGGTGGGTTTGAACTGCTGACCTTGTGGTCCAGTAAAGATTACAGCTTTGGAAACCCTATGGGACAGGGTCTCTGAGTCATAAGTGATTCAACAGCACCTAAGAAACAACCCATCCCTCGCTGCCATCGAGTTGATTCAGCCTTCCCCAGTGTGGCACTGTCCCTCCCACTGAGTCCTGGGTCAGGGTCTGTAAAGTGAAGCGGGACTCTGGCTGAGCCCTCTCCCTTTGAGAAAAGGAAGTCTGAGAAACAAAGACGTCTCTCCACAGCAGAGCTGAGGAGGAAGAGAGGCCCATCCAGCAGAACCTCACAGGCTCGCAGCCCTCACAGGGCCGCGGCTTGAAAACTGCCTACAATTCAGAAACATGCGCTGATGATGGTCACTACCGTCTGCAGTGGTCCAAAACCCTGGTGGTGCTGTAGCATAAGCACTGGACTGGTAACAGCATGGTCACAGTTCAAACCCACCAGCCGTTCCATGGAGAAAGATGAGGCTATCCATTCCATAAAAATTTCACAGCTTCAGAAATCCTCAGGGTGGCTATGGGTCAGAATTGTCTCAGTGGCAGTGGATGGGTCTACAGCCATCCCAGGTCAACACATGCTGTGAGACGATGGCCATGTTGCTTAACCTCTCTGTGCCCCCTTTTCTCATTCGGAAACCTCACCTGCAGCTGCAGAGCAGTGGTGTAAAACATAGTCAGGGCATGCTGTACCTATCCCTGTTGAAAATGAGGCAGCTGCTCACACTCCACTGGTAACAGGGCCTTGGGCCTGTCCTCAGAAGGTCTCTCAGTGCCCCTTGGGCAGTCCATAGTCCTTGTGGTGGTTTCTTCAATGCGGGTCACTGCCGTGGCCACAGCCTTTACCAAGGACACTGGTG